GAACTTTCCATTCAGCCATTTCTTTTTGTGTTGTTTTAGAAAGCAAGCAACAGAAGGCCATGTATAACGGGATGCTTTCTTAATGTCCTATCAGCTGAGGCGTCTTTGGTCCAGCCCCTGAGCACAGGATGACACTTCAAAGTCTGTCCTGCTAAGAGGGCAGTCTTCTCTGTCCATGAGTTAGCAATCGTCGTATTTGCGGGGTGACCCTATTACTTTACCCTGAAGCTTTCAATTAAGGGAACTTAGACCAGAGCTTGTATTTAAGAATGCTTCTTTGTCAGTTTCATCTTGGGGTTTAAATTGGATTCTCTAATGTTGGTAGAGCAAACTGAAACATTACCTAATTCTGCTAAAAGAGCAGAGGGATACCAAGCTCCAGTCCTCTTATCGATGTGGTCAGGATCCTTGGCAGGGAAACCGAGTGCTAATTGCTAGAAGAGGTCACTTAAATATCCTTTTGGTTCCCATGAAAGTCATGCATGCCGTGATCTTGACCCCAGTTGGAGAAGTAGGTGTCAGAACACTCATTTCCATAAGCAAGTCTGGAAAACATAATCACCTTCACTCCTTGCTGTTTGGAACATTGAAATAGAGATTACACTGCCTTAATTAACACCACTCAGTAAGAGTTGGTGTCAGAATTCTGCAAGTTTGGTATAATTTTATTGTTGAAAAAACCATTGGTTTCTTTATAAATTTTTTCTGCTGCCTCTCTGTTGTGTGTGTGTGTGTGTGTGTGTGTGTGTGTGTGTGTGTGTGTGTGCATGCACACATGCATGCCTCTGTGTTCAGGGTTAGCGAGTGAGTGTACCTGGGAAGTGGCTCCATGGCACTTCATTTAAATGTCATGAAGTCTACGGAAAGTCATTTCTAGGCAATGTTTGAATGAAGCACACCTGGCTTATGTGCACTGCTGCTGTATGTGGTTCACGTGCTGTAGCTAGAGTTTTTCTGCCTGGCCCACAGTCAGGACAAATCTCTGACACCCGCCAGTCCCACAGCCACTCAGACCCGACCAAGTAAACACAGAGACTTATATTGGTTACAAACTGTATGGCCATGGCAGGCTTTTTGCTAACTGTTCTTACAGCTTAAATTAATCCATTTCTATTAATCTATACCTTGCCACGTGGCTTGTGGCTTACCGGTACTTTACATCTTCCTTGTCCTGATGGCAGCTGGCAGTGTCTCTCTGACTCAGCCTTCTACTTCCCAGCTCTATTCTCCTCCTTGTCCCGCCTATACTTCCTGCCTGGCCACGGGCCAATCAGTGATTTATTTATTGACCAATCAGCAACACATTTGACATACAGACCATCCCACAGCAACGTGCAACATCCCGTCACCTACTCCCTCCCAAGCCACCCTGCTCGCCTTCCCTGGCCTTCCCTGTTGCCATTCATGCGCTCACTGCAGAGGAAACTCTCAGAGCCTTGGCCACTCAGGCCAGCTCAAGTCTCACCCGACTAATTGGTTGGTGAGGTTCTAATCTACTGTCTCTTCTCCGACATCTTCTTTCCTTCCTTCGAGGCAGCCATTCACACAATGCAGCCCTTCTTGTTCTCTGGGCTCAGCTAATTCTTCCTTGGGTAATTTTTCTCAGATAACTGGTATGGTGTTCTAAGACCCTGGACTTTAATCTCCATAGGCTGGCTGGAATCTGGTTCTAGCGTTTTGGGGCAGTGTGGGTTTGTGTAAATTACTGAGCTTCAGCCTTCTCATCCATAAAAGTAGCACAGTAATGCAATTACCCTGCCTCTTAGCCGTGGATGAGGGTGACATGCAGCAGCGGAGAGTCTCTGCTCGAGGGTGCAGTGAGCATTTTCAAAATCCTTCTTTCCTGTCCCGTCGTTTATAATTTTTACTCAACTGTTTAAGAAAAACACATCTTTTTTTTTCTTTTGATTTTCCTTCCCCATTCCTATGGTTTTTCAGTACAGGCAGTAGTGTGCTGGCTAACTTTATGTCAATTTGACCCATAGAGTCATCTGAGAGGAGGGAACCCCAATAGAGAAAATGCCTCCCTAAGATCAGACTGCAGGCAAGCCTGTAGGGCATTTTCTCCATTAATGATTGATGGGGGAGGGCCCAGCCCATTGGGGATGGGGTCATTCCTGGGCTGGTGGTCTTAGGTTCCGTAAGAAAGCAGGCTGAGCAAGCTAGGGGGAACAAGCCAGTAAGAGGTACCCCTCCACGACCTCTGCATCAGCTCCTGCCTCCAGGTTACCGCCCTGTTTGAATTCCTGTCCTAGCTTCCTTTAGTGATGGGCTATGATGTGGAAGTGTGAGCCACATAAACCCATTCCTCCCCAAGGTGCTTTGGTCATGGTGTTTCATCACAGCAATAGTCACCCCAATTAAGACAGGCAGGGTGACCGTGACCGTAGGCGGTAGTCAGGGCCCTCTGAGAGAGCCTGGGCTAGTGAGTGTGCCTGGGAAGTGGCTCCATGGCTTTCTCTGTGCTTGTTCCTCTTCTCCAGCAGGAGTCCTAAGTGACCCTGTCTGTAGCTGTTGAAGGTCACAGTGATTTGGAGATGACCTTGAGTAAGGAAAGCATAGGTATTCCTGTGAGAAAGGTGGGGGACATATCAACAATAAATCCAGTACCTTGAAATTTAGAATGCCCGCATTTCCACCATAGTCTCTATCCTCTTCAAATTAAACATGCTTTTTTGAAGATGCTATTGTTGGAGATACCATATATGGAAAAATATGATAGTTTCTGAGATAATTTTATTATTTTCTACTTTAATTGTTAATATTGTAATAGTTTATATTTTTGGCAACTTCATAGCATTTTGGTTATATTTGACATTAAATGGGCCTTTGTAGTGTAGCCTATAAAACTATTTTTTACAGAAAAATAAACTGTCGTGTCTAATTTATGAAAGAAAATTTTCAAAGGCTACCATCTCACTTCGAGGGGACTGTGTAGCCCATTGTATGTGGCTCAGGTGATCTAAGCCCAACACCATTCTAGCTAGATCAGACCTTTACCATGAGAGACCCAAGACTCATTTAATGTCAAGTGAAAAGGTATTCTTTTTTCTAGAAGTAGCTTGGCTTTTAATCATTTTTATCAATGAAAAACTTTTTTTCTTGAAGTCAAGTTAACTATTATTTTGTTGACCTGTATACAAAGATCCTACTCATAGATTTATAGTGTTTAATATGATAAAGAAGCACAATGAAATTTCTAAAAATAAAAATAGGATTTATGTGCTTATATTTCTAAGTTGGCATTGTTAAGAGAGGGTTGCAGGTCTGTTTTAGACTAGTTTGAGTCATTTGCCAACCTTTAGTCTGTTTTAGCTCTCCCTGGTCACTCGAAGGATCCAATCAAATTAGGATTATTAATAGGCATTTAGTGGGGAGAGAAAAAGAGGTCCATTTGTTTGTGTTCTTCAAAGCGAAGGGGAGGGATAGCAGCACCAGCTCTCAATATTTTCCTACATGTTGTCTCAGCTGACGTCCTCCTTAGACAAGTGGTTGTGATTATGATGAAGACCATACATCAGCTGAACTTGCAAAACTGCATACTCTACCTTAGATACTTCACATGCTTCTCAGAAGCTCTTGTGCTGAAGACTTAGTAGCTGACCGAGCGGTGTTCAGAGGGGAGGCCTCTGGGAAGTGATTGGATTATGAGGGTTGTTCCTTTATCAATGGATTATCCCACTGCTGGATTCTTACAGTTTAACAGGTATTGGGGTGTGGCACAAACTTTATGAGGTGGGACCTAGTTGGAGGATGTAGGTTGCTCTGGGCATGCTTTTTTAAGTGTATAATTTGTTTGTGCTGGGTGCAGGGGGCACCGTAGGGATGAGGGGAGGATATGGGAGGACCGGGAGGTGAGCAGAATTGGGGTGCATGATGTGAAACTCCCAAAGAATCAATAAAAACGTTAAATTAAAAAAAGCTGTTTATCTGGTGCAAACAAAGTAGATTAAATGCAAAAGCAAATATGATAACCTAGTTACTCTCTACTCAAGCCAAATGTTAAAGGTATTTACAAAAACGTAAGTGCTGCTTTCTCATCAATATTCAGCATCCACACAGAGTCTATAAGTGTATGCTAGGTAATGTATAATGGGCCTGTTATTGTTATCTTCAAACTAATAAATATATATGGAAAAATTTCTCAGTCCCAGTTGCTAAAAAGTAAGGACAAATAGATACAGGAGCCCTTTGTGACCCAAGTCCAAAAATTTTGAGATTGCTGACTTAGGAAGACATTTCTCTAGCTATGCTGTAGTCTTTGGTTTAGAATTAACCGATGTATCCACTATCTCAATAGTAAATACAGGAAGGTTGTTTTTTTGTTTGTTTGTTTGTTTGATTTCTCATGGGGAAACAACTTGTAACATTCTGTGTGAAAATATTCTTGTGCTTAGTTCAATGTCTGCTTTTCCTTTACTAATCCCCAGTCAATGTAGAGCCTCATGAATCACCTTGAAGAAAAAGCCCCTCAATACAAGTTTATATTCCTAAGAACTTTGCTTCCATCTACGGCAGACACATTTTGATGAGCCTTGCCACACAGTGGCCGTTTCTCCATCGTCTGTTTCCTCTTCCTCCGATTTTCAGGGCTTTTGCATCCTTCCTCTGCCTTCCTCCTCACCTCCGCTCATATTCATCCCCCTCTTCTTCCCATGTGACTCATCATAGCGGCGAGGACGTCTTCATGGGCTGCAGTTGGTGGCTTCTGGGGCATCCTCTAGGAAAAGATGCTGAGCTGGTAACCGTGAGGAAGGCGTTGACAAGTGCGGGCTTTGCTCGGCATCGCCAGCTCTAGGGCTTACGCAGGCTCCCCGTTCAGTGGGTAAAATCCAGCACCGGCGTCCAGGCTGTGTTGCTGAGATTTCTGGAGGCCGTAGTGGAAAGTTAAGGAAATGAGCTTGAACTCAAAACTTTCATCTTCTAGAAGAGACGGCTTTAGCATAAATCCTACAGGGACGCTGCGTTCTTCATAGATTTCTTTCTCATTTTTCCTCTAGTCGAAAAGCCATTCCCAAGTTGGCCTGAAATCAAGCACAAAGCAAAAGGTATGTTGTTTTTCTTGTACTTTATTCATTTAACAGATAACTGTTTTTGTTGGTATACTCCCTCCCTTAACAGGAATAATTGTCTTTGAAAGGCCAAGGTGTACCTAGAGGTGAAGTACTTTTGAATTTTCATTTGCTTTGCTTTCACAACAATGAAACGGAAGTGGGAGCGAAAGCCTTAAAATAAAACAGAACCAGAGAGACATTCTTGAACCCAGTGAAAGGGCTGTGGAGTCTCCTCATGGCTTGAAGGAATTCTGAATGCAAGGTCAGAGGACGCGGTCCTTGGTTCTGCTTCTGTTTTTCCGCGTCCTTCCCAGTGAAGGAGTCTGTGCCTATCTCAGTTTATTGAAATTTATTGTCTCAGCTGTGGAGAGTGACCTTCACCTGTGGTCACAGTGAATTTGTCAAACATACGCTCTGTGAGTCTGAGAGAATCGGCTTCTGTTCTCAGTTCCGTCACCTCATTGTGTGACCTTGGACCTATCTGTACAGAGAAGAGGATTCTACCTCCTGCTGTAGCCTATCTTGAGGTTAAAGAGGAGATAATGTGTGAAAACACAGCTCAGTGCCTAGCACAAAAAAGTACTTGATATTTTTTAAAATTCTATTATTTCATCGATAGTTTAGAGAATAGAAGAATGAGGGGCTGGAGAGAGGGATCTGTGGTTTTTGTTTTTTTTTTTTTGTTAGTCTTCTGGGCCCCACTACCCAGCTCCCAAATAAATACACAGAGACTTATTCCTACTTATGAATATTCGACCTTAGGTTAGCTTGTTTCTAGCCAGCTTTCCTAACTTAAATAATCCCATATTTCTTTCTGTTTTGCTTCTGGGCTTTTTAATCTTTCTCTATTCTACATATCTTTCTTTCTGTCTTACTCTGTGGCTGGCCCCTGGCGTCTTCCTCTCCTCCTTTTCTTGCTCCTCCCCTCTTCCCTAGATTTCTCCTCCTCTTTATTCCCTCTGCCCGCCAGCCCCGTACGTTTCTCTCTCCTGCCTAGCTGTTGGCCATTCAGCTCTTTATTAGACCATCAGGTGTTATAGACAGGCAAAGTAACACAGCTTTACAGAGTTAAGCAAATGTAACATAAAAGAATGCAACACATCTTTGCATCATTAAACAAATATTCCACCGCATCAATGAATATAACACATCTTAAACTAATACTCCATAACAGGGCTCAGCAGTTAGAGCTCTTGGCTGCTCTTCTAAAGGACCACATTTCTGACCCCGGCATCCACAACGGGCAGCTTACAAGTATCTGTAACTCCAGCTCCAAGGGATCTGACCCCTTTTCTGGTCTCTGCTGGGATCCACAAACTCACACAGACATCCAAAATGATAAAGAACAGGAACTTGAAATTCTATAATTCAATCTTCAGACATGCATACATACACACAGTATGTTAATCCCTTGTGGATACTTGAGGAAGTGGTATGTGCAGGTCCCTTAAAGTTCGGAGAAGTCTATGTTCAGTTTTGGAGGGGACAATGTTGAATGTCCTTCTTCCAGGGTAGACATTGCCACTGGCTGGAGTCCTGCCATACCTTTCAGGAAAACAACAGCGCACATTTCCCGATGTCGGTGTCAGAGAGAAGCCCTTGACTGCAGAGGTCCAGAGGCGCCTGGGAGGATTAGAGGGCATGGCAGTGGGAGCTCTGAGCCCAGCAGCTGCAGATAGTTGCTGTTTTTAATAGAGAATTGTAACAGCTGATACCGACCGAGCAGGCCTTGTGGTCTAGGTACAGCAGAGCACTTGGCAATGGTTGACTCGTCTAATACTCTCCACCTTCTGAGGTAGATGTTACTTTGGTCATGGTTTCTCATCACAGTGATAGGAACCCTCACCAAGACATAAGGACTGGCTGAAGCGTATGCACGAGGTGTCTGTCCTACTTCCTGGCACATCGTTGGTGTTTAGTAAACACTAGCTCATGCTAGATAATGGCATTTTTCCTCTTTGGAGTATGGAAACCCCCTTGTGCCTCCGTGACTACGTGTGCAGCTTTGAAAGCATTGCGTTTGTCTTGGAACAGTGTCCTCTGCACTGGGCTGTTGGTGTGGGTGCTCATTATCTCTCTCACTTAGCATATTTTAAAGTTTTCTGTGTTGGAACGTGAATGGAGAAGTTAAAGCTGAGGTTTGATGAATGGTGTCCTGAAAACTGGGATTTATCAGGGGCCGTGTCTGAGCACCAGGTTAGCCTTTTCCTTCAGCTCTCATACAGCAGGGAAAAAATCAGTGAGTTTACCCTTTTATTCATTATTTATAGGGCACCTAATTCTATTAGATGGTGTGGTGGTTGTCAGAGGTGACATCAGCATTGGCATGTGGACCCCACCCTCCTGGCTGTTCATTGTCACTTAGTGTAGTAACATGATGTAACTGGGCGCTTCGCCTTCTGTTTACCGCTTGAGCAGTGATAGGACCTGGGAGAATGGAGCTGATAAGTGAGGCGGACTAAAGTTTCATGTAATTGCCGACTTTATTCAGAGCATCAATTTATACTCCGAGGGTTAAGAAGAGTCACCTGAGTAAAGTATACAGTCACAAGGACAAGCTGTACATGGTAAGAACATGTTTTCCCATAGAGGCACATAAACAAATAACAATAGCCAGCTGTAATGAGTCATCTGAAGTTAGCTCACTCCTATCCGCTACCCCTGGGAGGAGCATGCAAACACATTCCAAGAAAAATTCCGTGTTGTTGAAGAAACTGAGGTCACAAGACTCTTATCTTGTTTTCCTACAAGCACTCAAAATTCCCCTCAAACGAATCCATTCTTGGACTGTTTTCTCACACGCTCTTGTTTTTGACAGGTATGGTGTGTGTGCATGCGTGTGAGGGTGTGCATGTGATTTTTTCTTTTTAAGTCCAGGGCTACTATGTAGGTAAAATATAAATTGAACCTACTATAGAATTCACCTATGTCCATAGGAAGAAGAGAATCCAATGCGATTGCCTGAAGAACGATCTAGTCAGAACCTTCCAGGCCCATAGTCTCTCTCCAAGGCAAAAGCAGGGTGTGTAAACTGGGGCAGTTTCTATGTCTTCTCCTCTTCTTTCCTTTTGTCTGAAAGTGCCAACAGCCCCAGTAATCCTAAAAGAATTAAGGGAAGGGTGTAGCACGAATTGTTATTAATAAAAACAACCCCCTGAAGCCAGGTATTGGGGTGAATGCTGAAAGGTCAGAGAAACAGAACAGGCCACAGCTAACCTCACCTTGCCAATTCCTCAGCTGATCCTGTTTCCTCAAACTGGAAGCCTCTGTGTCCTCATCCGAATGGATCTCAGCTGAACTGCTGCTAAAAGCTTAACAAAAGGCTCTAGTTCCTGGTCTTCACGCCTTATATACCTTTCTGCTTCCTGCCATTACTTCCTGGGATTAAAAGCGTGTGTCACCATGCCTGGCTGTTTCCAGTGTGGCTTTGAACTCACAGAGATCCAGAATGCCAGGATTAAAGGCATGTGCTACCACTGCCTAACCTCTATGTTTAATCTAATGGCTGTTCTGTTCTCTGACCCCCAGATAAGTTTATTGGGGTGCACAATATATCAACTACAGAAGGGCTTCCTTTATCTTGACTGGAACTTTAGTCAGAAGCTGTCTTGGAAGCCAGTATAAAGTGATGATACTCAGTAGCCTTAAACATTTAACCACAAGGTCACAGAGGTGGTGTTTGATACTCCTAAGATTGCTGCAGGGCCTATGGTTACATTGTCAAGGTCATTCTAGAGCTTCCTGATTTTGCTGGTAATTTTGGTGAATGTTAGAGACTAGAATAGACTGAGATATAGTCTTTAGAATGTAAGAACATCAGACACATGTCCCTGATCCCATTGACATTAGGGAATTTGCAGAGAAATGCATAGATAGATAGATATTGGGAAGTTCAGGGTAGAATGCCAGTGGGAGAGGCTGAGATAAAGAATCTTTGGTTTCCTATAAAGCACGCTTGCTATTCCCTAAGTATCTAACATTTAATAATAATAATATAGTAAACATGCAGAGCCAGATATAGTGACACAGGTCTAGAATGGCAGCACTTGCAAAGTGGAGGCAGGTGAGTCAAGAGTCTAAGGGCATTTTTGGCTTACATAGTAGGTTCTCTTGCGGGCTGCAAGAATACATTATAGAGATTCTACTGTGCACTAAAGCTATATTTTGGCTGGCCAAAGGTCTGCTAAAAGGCAAGCCATTTATTATGAATATTTGGTGTTATCCAGACTTTTATATTCCAGCTGTCTTCTACTGTGAAATTCTTGCAAGTTCAGGGTCAGCCAGGATTATGTTAGACCCTGTCTCGGGAAACCAAAACTCGAAGGAAAACAAGACAAATTGGCATGTAATCAGTATTTTTTTGCTTTGTAAACATGAAGTAGTTACACTGTTTTCACTCTACTTAATGTTTTTTTTTAAAGATCAGACTTCACTTTTTCTAGCAATTTTAAGCTCACATTAATTGCACATAGAGATTTCCCATAATACCTTCTGTCCCCACAAGCCATAGCCTTCTCCGCTGCCAACATCTCACTGATTGTACATCTGCTATTATCACAGTCACCTGAAAGTCCACACCTTTTGTCAGGGCTCCCCTTGGGTGTTGGAGATCTCAAAGGTTTGGACAAATGTGTGGTGAGGTGTGTCTATCATTGTACAATCAAACCCATGGCTTTCACTGTCTGAAAATCCCAGGTGCTTTGCCTTTGATTCCTCTTTCTGCCCCCGGCAGTCACTGACCCTTACCTACCTTCACTGCGTTCTCTTTTACATGACATCACATAGTTGAAATCACACAGTGTGTGATATTTCCATATTGACCTCTTTCACTTAAAAATATGTATTTAAGTTTTCTTTGTGTGTCCTTCATGGCTTAATAGCTCATTTCTTTTCAGTACTAAGTAATATTCCGCTGTTGAGATGCATTGCAGTGTATACTATGGGGTAACATCTGATTACATCTAAATTTTGGCAATTAGGAAGAAAACTGCTAT